GGGGGGGGGGGGGTAGTGCTGGAGAGACCGCTCCTGAGCAGGCTTTACACAGGCCCCGGAAGTAAACTCTGGACCCTTCCCGAGGGGCTGGACATTGAAGAAACAGAGGGCCCCAGAGCCAGCCAACCCCCCAGTAAGAGAAACAGGTTTTCCCTTTCAGATCAAGAAACTGTGCTGGGTAAGAGATAAGAGCCCCATGTGTGTCGTGTATGAAGACATGTCCTGTACCCGCCGGAACACCATATCCACCCCGAACGACTACCAGTGAACCTGTGGCCCCCAAGCCTCCCTCTGACCAGTGCTGCTCCTGACACCTCCTCCAGAAAGCCTTCCTTGCCTACCTCCCACCCTCAAGGCTGCCCTGCTCACCCTGTGGGACTGCACCTGATACCTGGGAGGGAGCCCCCAGAGACAAAGCTGCCCTTCCCCTCACACAGCTGGAGGGGCTTCCACATAGAACAAGCTTGGGTCCGGGGAAGCGGGCACGCCTGGCAGATGGGCTGGGGGAGGTCCAGCCCCCAACCCAGGCTTGCCAAAAATAAAGTGCTTCTCTTGTCTCTTCTTCAACTCCAGTGTCCACTTCTCTGGGCCCCTCAAGGCTCACAGCCTGACACCTAAAGTCCTGGGTAGGGTGACCTTTTCTGGAGGTGGACGACCCCCTGGGCAGTGCCCACCTCTGGGAGCAGGGCCAGAATAACAGACTTCCTCAGAGAAGGGCAGCTGGAAAAACGAGTCAGCAAAACATCCAGGTGGGAAAGTTAGGGGTGAGACTCACTGGGGACCCAAGAAATGACAGGTGGAGTGTCCCAGGTGGAAGTGCCCCAGATGGAAAAGAGAGAGACTCTGGTAATAGAAGAAACGTGGCCACCTAAGGCCTGAGACACAGGCGGCGAGAATGGTGCTCCCAGGTCCCGGGAGGGTGCCCTCATTAAAGGGACCACAGAGGACAACCAGGGAGGGACAACCTGGAGACTAGCACCTCAAAAGCAGAGGGACCCCAAAACCCAGGTGACAGCTCTGAAATTGAGAAGACGATAGGGCAACCCCCTTAAGTACTGGAGGAAAGGACGGGTCTGCAGCAGAGATGACTTTTTGACAGTTCAATGCTTTGTCAGATGCAGAAAGACAACAGACAGGTTCCGTTAAGGTAAAGACTGACCTTCCTCGAGGAAGACACAGGCCTAGGACGGGACTACCCGCCACGACTCACTTTTAGTTACGAAGTTTTCATTTCAAACCATCGTATTGGCCAAAGACCATCAGCGTGATATACTGTGATCTCTGAGCTTGCAGAGGCCCCGTGGGGGCCTCCCCTGAACTTGTCAGGTTGAGCACGTGGCCCCTTTTTGTCCACAAGGCTGGGCTGGGCTGAGAGAAGGGTGTGCAGCCTGGGGCCTGTGGGGTGTCGGAGCCCAAGCAGGTGTCCTGCTGAGGGGCCGCCCTCAGCACTGGCCCGAGTCGGGGCTGTAACAAGCCCATCTGCCCCCCTCACCGCCCAGGGTGGGTCTGCAGACCTGGGAGACGGAGGAGGCCCTCCCCCACACCCCTCCTTGAAGGCTGGGAGCTGTCGTGTGTCCACAGGTGCCTGTCTGCCTCCCCACACGGAAGAGGCGGAGGAGGCGCTGAGGCTTCTCGAGGCTGCCCTGCGGCAGGGCTGGGGGCTGCAGTCACGGTGCAGGAAAAAGCTGCTGGGCCTGCAGCAACCCCCCAAGTTCTCATACCCCCACCGGGCTGACATCTGCCCCCAGCGCCCCCAACCCCCAGCACCTTTACCCAGTCGCTCCCCTGGCCCCCTCCACTGCAGCAGCTTAAGTGACAACCACATCCGGACGCCCGCGGCTTTCACAGGCAGCCAGGGGTAAATCAACATGTAATCCCACAACCACAGCCACCTGTAGGCCAGGCCCAAGCTCAAGTGCCCCGCCTGGGGCCTCGGCCAGGACCCCTGTGCACCCTGCCCTGCCCGGGGCCCGGCCTGGGTCCTGGCGCCCACTCCCACCTCACCTGGGGCCCAGGCCCCTGGAGTGAGCCCACCCTACCTGCCCCTAGTCTCCTGATGGCTTTTCTACCTGCCTCTTCCCTCTCCTCCCCTCTCCTCCTGCCCCTCCTCCTCCCTCCTCCCAGCCTCAGTCTTCTGGCTGAAGGAGGCCCTTGGGGGATTCTCTGATCACCCTTCGGTTGGGTGGACAGCACTCAGGGCCTCCCAGAGCCTCCCTGGTCTCCCAGGGGACAGACTGGCCACAGGCAGGTGGCCTCCCTGCTCAGATGACACTCCTTGGCCTGGGGCTCCCACAGTTCCTCACCCCGCCAAGCACCTTCCTGTCCCTTAGGCTCAAGCTGTTGGCTTCACTGCTCATTTAATGCATTTAAGTCCTCACAAGGCCACCGGGCCCTGCCAGCCCCTTTAACAAAACCCAGCCTGAGCCAGGAGGAGCCTGTCCCCACCTAGATGGATGGCTTGGGGAGGAGTCCCTGCAGGAGAGACCGCACCCCTGTGGGAGTGGGGAGCTGCAGCTGGCTCCTGTGGCCCCGGCTGCACTAGCATTTCAGGAACCGCGCAGAAACCACGGCCTGCTCCCCACTGCAACAAGTGCAGCTGCAGGAGGTGTGCGGAGGGGGCTCGTTGTCAATCAGAGACCTACAAGAGGGGCAGCGGCTCTGCATTTGACAGACGGGGCAAGGGGACCCGGAGGGCCGGCGGTGTTACCAAACTGAAGGGGTTCATTCGCCTGCGTGCATCAAAGCCCAGTAAGAGAGAACAGGAGCCTGCAGCAAAGAAAGGAAAGGTTAACTTGAGGAAATGGCGCCAAACCCAGAAGCACAGGTGAACAGTGTCTAAAACCTGGCTCCCCAGGGGCTGCTAGGAGATGGGTCATACGGGGGACTAAGCGAGTGAGGGTTGTGGTCCCTATGCCCTGCCAGTGCTGAGGTCCGGGTAGCCGGTCTTTGCATCTGGTCCTGAGGCCAGGACCTCTGCTCTGGGTGTGCTCGGTGACCATTCCACTTTTCCAGGCCTGGGGCTGAAACTCCGTGGGAGCCTGGATGTTATCTCCAGTTTGACTGAAGCTCTGTCTCTGGGGTCAACCCACCTGAGGCTTACTTAGTTCCTAATATTATTTCATGTCAACCAGGGCCTCGCTGTCCTGAGGGCTTGTGGTTACAGGACTGGACTTGCAAGGGAGGGGGAGGTGGGTGAGTCAGGGTGCTGGCCAGGTCAGTCTGAGTCAAGAGGAGAGAAAGGGGCAGAGGTCACATGAACGACATGCCGTGTCTTCAAGGTTGCAGTGGACGGGAAATGGCCGAGGCAGTTCCCACACTGGGTCTCAGGCCCTGCACCCCACAGCCCTGCACCCGGGCCACCCTCCCATTGACCCCAGGACCCTTGCCAGGCCTAGCCAGTTTTGTGGGGCCTGAGGCATCTCCAGTCACTCTCCGGTAGCCAGGTGAACAATCCAAACAAGGGTGGGGCCGTAAGGTGCACACCCTGCACTTTCCCCTCCACACCATGCCTTCCTACACTCCCTCCCCTCTCTGCTGGAATCCTTGGGCAGTCCCGGGCCTTTCCTGCCTGCGGGTGACAAGCTCTCCCACCAGTGTCCCGGCGCCTGGCCTCACGCAGCACGGTGGCTGAGTGGCTGAGCTGGGTCCTGAGCAGGGGTCACCCAACCCGCTAAGGGCACCCTGGGGCCCTCACCCATCCTGGGCTCTTGAGAGGGCCACCTGCCCTCTAGTGGCAGGACCAGGCAGGGGCAGGCAGCTGCCCAGCCAGTATTTCCAGTCTGGACACTCCAGGCCTGGAAGATAGAGCCAAGTCGGTGCAGTGCAGCCCACTGCTGGCTGTTGGGAAAACTGAGGCCCAGTGTGGACAGGGGTCTCAGAACCAATGAGAGGGTCTCCCCCCGAGAGATGAGCATCCCCACAACGTTCGGTAGTGGTTTGGGGGTCCAGGGTTTGGAAACTCTAAAAACCAACTGGAAGGCTGGGATTTTGGGGACCAGCAGGGTGCATATTCCAAAGTCAGTGATGTGGGCAGCTGGAGGGGACAGAGGGCAAGGAGACACCTTTTTTTTTTTTTTTTTTTTTTTTTTAAAAA